CAGTAATTTCTCCATTCTTTCTAAAAGTTTACTTCTGCTATAACTCACTTGCATTGCACTTATTCTCGTAGCCTGTTGTATTGACTGTTTTATTTTATATGAATTTTTCATTATGGTAGTCACAGTGGAAGGAGGCAATTTCATACTTTTGCACACATTACGATGGGTATCACCACCTTATATTCAACGAATTATGTCCATCTTATCTTCTAGCGCAATAGACCTACGCAACTTTTTAGCAACACATTCATTTCTCTTACCAGACATGGCGGCTCTTCTACATTTATAAATATAAAACAGTTCCTACTGCAGAATAGTGGTCAACAACAGCACAAACACGTTTAGCACACAGTTTTCAGCACATTCAATGTGTCAACAAGAAGTGAACTGAGCACATTTTTCCTTACTCCCTTATCAGGCTGAATGCAAATGATTCACCATGAAGAGTGACCAATGATCATGCGACTGTTGCGCAATGTTGGCAGATTTTTTGGAGATTATCTCGCAACTACTTAGCAATGAGTGCAGAGGTGAATGAATTTATAATTTTTATTCAAAATCAGCGATGTAAGAATTACGATTTAGTATAAGAATCAGTACGAGAAACATTGTAAAACGTTAAAAATAATAGTATAATATATTTTTTTCACTTTTTGACTTGCTGGTTTCAAAAGCGGCGTTATTCTGAATCGGCACAAATCGAGGTTTACCTGTATACACTGTGTAACAGTTCTGGCAGGTCTGCTCCTTTATTTTATCTAAGGTTTTCATTTGTAAATTTTTCCTTGTAACAGTGTAAGTAGGAAGCTGTTTGTTCCATCAGACCATGACCTCAGACTTGAGTGAATGGCACCAGTAATGTCAGACTTGTCTAGGATGAATGGCACCAATGATGAGTATGGGCAGGGTATCTCACAGACATCATAATGTGCGATTACCTGATTGGGAATACTCCACTGTTTCAAAAGAATTTCAGCATATATACAGACAAACACAAGTAAAGCACATATTCTTGTTAAGCAGACCAAAATGGGAAATATGTCGACAAATTTTCGTAAAACTCCCCAATATAAAATTCATGAAAATCTGTTTAGTGATTTTAAAGTTTTTACACAAGGAGAGTTAGATACAGCATTTTGCAATATCATTCAAAACATTCACAAAAACAAACTTTTTTTCTTAACCAGGACAAATATCAACACTAATAGTAAAACTTACACACTACACTCACACTCACTCACTCACGCACGATACACACACTGCAAAAATTAATGTTAAACAGTCACTGCTTACCTGACTACCAGATTCATCATTATTCTGAGCTGGCCTTGGAGGTGAACCACTCTTACGACGAATGCCTCGGTGAATTGTCCATTTCTGAAAACATTAAAATGAAATAAATAAATATTAGTTCATTAACATTATCTATGTCCTCAGTAACTAAGACCATTACAGACATCACATTTCCTGAATATGAGTGTGGATTTTCATCTCTGGGGAGAAACAAATGTAGAAAGGTTAATTCCAACAGGTGTCACAGTTCATCACATTATTACAAAATGTTTGTATGTTGGAAGACAATGCAACCAACAAGGCATGTACAGTGAAGATTTCTGTCTTCTGGGTTATTGCGCTGTGTAGTCTGGTCGATGTTAACCAACGTTTCAGAGGTCTGTCATCAGGGCGATCGCCCTGATGACGGAGGCAGTATGACCTCTGAAACGTTGGTTAACATCGACCAGACTACACAGCGCAATAACCCAGAAGACAGAAATCTTCACTGTACATGCCTTGTTGGTTGCATTGTCTTCCAACATACAAACATTTTGTAATAATGTGATGAACTGTGACACCTGTTGGAATTAACCTTTCTACATTTGTTTCTCCCCAGAGATGAAAATCCACACTCATATTCAGGAAATGTGATGTCTGTAATGGTCTTAGTTACTGAGGACATAGATAATGTTAATGAACTAATATTTATTTATTTCATTTTAATGTTTTCAGAAATGGACAATTCACCGAGGCATTCGTCGTAAGAGTGGTTCACCTCCAAGGCCAGCTCAGAATAATGATGAATCTGGTAGTCAGGTAAGCAGTGACTGTTTAACATTAATTTTTGCAGTGTGTGTATCGTGCGTGAGTGAGTGAGTGTGAGTGTAGTGTGTAAGTTTTACTATTAGTGTTGATATTTGTCCTGGTTAAGAAAAAAAGTTTGTTTTTGTGAATGTTTTGAATGATATTGCAAAATGCTGTATCTAACTCTCCTTGTGTAAAAACTTTAAAATCACTAAACAGATTTTCATGAATTTTATATTGGGGAGTTTTACGAAAATTTGTCGACATATTTCCCATTTTGGTCTGCTTAACAAGAATATGTGCTTTACTTGTGTTTGTCTGTATATATGCTGAAATTCTTTTGAAACAGTGGAGTATTCCCAATCAGGTAATCGCACATTATGATGTCTGTGAGATACCCTGCCCATACTCATCATTGGTGCCATTCATCCTAGACAAGTCTGACATTACTGGTGCCATTCACTCAAGTCTGAGGTCATGGTCTGATGGAACAAACAGCTTCCTACTTACACTGTTACAAGGAAAAATTTACAAATGAAAACCTTAGATAAAATAAAGGAGCAGACCTGCCAGAACTGTTACACAGTGTATACAGGTAAACCTCGATTTGTGCCGATTCAGAATAACGCCGCTTTTGAAACCAGCAAGTCAAAAAGTGAAAAAAATATATTATACTATTATTTTTAACGTTTTACAATGTTTCTCGTACTGATTCTTATACTAAATCGTAATTCTTACATCGCTGATTTTGAATAAAAATTATAAATTCATTCACCTCTGCACTCATTGCTAAGTAGTTGCGAGATAATCTCCAAAAAATCTGCCAACATTGCGCAACAGTCGCATGATCATTGGTCACTCTTCATGGTGAATCATTTGCATTCAGCCTGATAAGGGAGTAAGGAAAAATGTGCTCAGTTCACTTCTTGTTGACACATTGAATGTGCTGAAAACTGTGTGCTAAACGTGTTTGTGCTGTTGTTGACCACTATTCTGCAGTAGGAACTGTTTTATATTTATAAATGTAGAAGAGCCGCCATGTCTGGTAAGAGAAGTGAATGTGTTGCTAAAAAGTTGCGTAGGTCTATTGCGTTAGAAGATAAGATGGACATAATTCGTTGAATATAAGGTGGTGATACCCATCGTAATGTGTGCAAAAGTATGAAATTGCCTCCTTCCACTGTGACTACCATAATGAAAAATTCATATAAAATAAAACAGTCAATACAACAGGCTACGAGAATAAGTGCAACGCAAGTGAGTTATAGCAGAAGTAAACTTTTAGAAAGAATGGAGAAATTACTGTTGCTATGGGTGGATGACGTGAATCGAAAAAACATTCCCTTGACTGAAATTGCTATCACGGAGGAACTTAAGTCGTCAGTGTTTGGGTGCTGGGAACTCGTGTCATTCATTGACTTCCCATTGATTTACATTATAAAAAGAGTTTCAATTTACGCCGATTCCATTTACGCCAGTTCGTCCAGGGATGCATCCCCGGCGTAAATCGAGGTTTACCTGTACATTTCCTAACAATTTCTTTCTCCATCATCATGAACTGTGAAGTCACAAATGTGGCAGCTGTGGTTTGATTCCTGAAGAAGACACTCAAAAGTTTCTCAGATTCTCTTGGCCACTTTGTGCAAAATGGTTCCAGAGTGTACCCATTCTTCTATGTAGTAGGTATGAAAGACCTTTTTGCTAGACAGAAAGGCAGTTGGGTTGTACAGTTAACTACTGTCTTCTGCTTTGTGCACAGGTGAAGGGTGGGTAGTGCTTTACCTCCATGCCTCCTATATACCTTCTAGCATGGTTCAGATGGACAAGAATAGCTTTACCTGATCCTTTTTTATTTTATCATTTGTGTGGCTCTTGTTTGATATGAGCGGGTAAAGTGTTTTAATGGGAAATGTAGTTAAATAAACTGTGAAAATATGACACTGTTTTTAATTTGAAATGTATGTATGCTTTGTTCATATATAAAATGTTTTAGGCTAGTGGCATGATTTTCTTCAACCTTGGCTTCACTCACATTGTTAAACCTTGTAAGAAGCAGAAGGATACTAGAGAACTCTTCCATTGCTCAGCTGAAAGATTTTGTGAAAATCAATGTGCAATTTCACACACAGTTTTGTTCTAATTGACTAATACAAGCTTCTGAATGCCCCGAATTCAGTTATGGTGAAGACTGAAAGTTTCAGCTTGGACTCTTTCCTAATATTACAATCCTTATTTTGAGACAGTCCGTGGAATTGTTGATTGCTGATACTAGTGTATCACAAATATTGTGTTTGGAAGGCATTGGTCATAGCATGGGTTTGTTACTTTCTTTCATTATAGCATCACAACATAAATCACTAATATGCCGATTCCAGCAAAGAATTTATGTGTTCTGAATGTCCCTTGGTTCAGACCATATCCTTTTTGTTAGTCTGACTCTCAGTTAGAATTTTTTTATTGAAATTACAGATCGATTCTTGTTTGAAACATAATGTAGCAAAATTGTTTATGTGGCTTGGATTGCTAGTATAGGGTTTATGTATCAGACTGATTCACTGGTAAATCAGTTTCCAGTTACTGTATCATTTTTAGTGAAGACTGAGGGTACCAAAAAGATGATCTTTGAATATAATGTGCACCCTCATTTTTAAAGCAACAATTCTGGGAAAGAAGGTACATGAGTTATTCAAACAAATATGGTTATTTGCAGAAGGCACACTCATTGTGCGTTGACTCTTGTAGATAGGTCTAGAAATGTATGTGTTCTTATGATCTGAAGTATTTGATAGTCAAAGGATGCAAGTGACACAGCATCATTTCTGTGAAGTGCAAGTGTGTGGGAGAGGTGAAGGAATAGCCTGCAGATTCACAGCCTGCCTGTCTTGCTTGCATTATTATGTTTCATAATGTATCATTGATGGTCTGCAGTTATCTATTATGGTGTGTACATGTGACTTTACAAATTATTCTTGTTCATGTCTTATACTTTAGTGGCAATGTCTGTTTAAGTATTTGCTTTAATGATTTATATTGGCAAGATGTCCCACAAATTTAAGTAGTCTGGATGTTGAGCAATTAACTCCACTTTTTTGAAGAGAGATTTTCAGAAATACATCTTAACACTTTGTAAATATTCACACCTGTGCATTTTGATGTGCCAGTGAACATAAATATGTGTTGTTGCCCAGTGAAATCTGTAGCTTACAAGAGCTTTTTTTTGGGAATGAAGTGTGCTTATAGTATGATGTTGAAGTAAAGATTAAAGTAGTTGCATTGTAAACATTATTGACGAAAGTTATGATTCTAGCTGCAGAACTGTATTTCTGTGAGGTCATTTGTTGTGTGATGCATTAATGTAGTGATTTTTTATAATCTAGCTTAGACATATGCTATGTTGAGAAGACTCAAACTTTGCCTTGGAAAATATTCTCATTGAGTTTAAGCAAGGTTTAAGATATGGCCTTTGAAGGGTTTCGATATTGTTTATAGATATAATAGTGGATCAGTGCCAGTTTGTGATTGCAGAACAGGAAATTAAATACAATTCTGTGTCTTATATTTACAGTTTTTTAATAAACCATTTTTGATATCTATAGAGTTAGAATCGAAGGGCTGAAGTAAATATGTTATTAATATCCGAATTTACATGTTTTGTGTTTCTATCACGTGCCTAAATATAAATTTTCATTCTCAGACTTTTTCTGGTTTGTACAATAATTTTTCTTCTGGACAGATTGCTAGTAAACATTTAAAGAAACAAAATGAACACCAAATTTTTGAACTGGTATCAGTTCCTTGTGGATACAGGTGACAAGCATAGGCTCATGTTTGTTGAAGTAGGGGCAGTATTGTGATGAGTGTTGTCTATCTCCTGCAGAAAGATGGTGCGGAGGGTGGGAAGAGTTCTTGTGCTAACTGTGGGGTTGCCTGCACTCACACCCACACTTCTCCTAAAGGCAGCATGTGCAACACTTGCTACCAACATTGGAGGTATAAATAACTGTAAAAGATACAACCTAGGGCATCTGCAGGGACATATACTGAGATTGTTTGTTTTTCTGTGATATGGGTTATTGGAGCATACAGGGGAAACCTTGGGATGAAAATCTGATATCTGCTTTTAGGACACACACACACACACACACACACACTTCCTAACTTAACAGAAATTTATCTTTTAATTCTAATTATAGCCATAGAATTAAACTACATTTTGTTAAAGGTAGTAATACTTTTTTAAAACGATATATTATATAGTTTAGGTTTTGGAATATAATCTGAAAAATAGCAAAATTGAGGTCCTTTTGCATTGTAGAAATAATTTGATTTTTAGAATACAATTTGAGTATATTTCCTATCCTTTCTATATAAATAATTGTTGCAGTTAGAATTACATGTAGATTGGTAAGGGAACAATCCTACAAGGGTGACTGTTCTGTTTTTCCTTTGTCTGTCTCTACAGGTGCCCTTTATCACATTGTTATGTTGTTATAGACATAATTTGTAGTTGCATTGCTATCAGAATTATTGTAATGGGAATCACATTTAATTTACAGCCTAGAGTTATAATTATATTCAACGTTTCTGTTATGTAATTTGTCAGGAGTTTTTGTCTTCATGTTAGGTTATGTTCAGCATATAAAGTCACAATCAGGGTCTTGTATTTAGGGCTAAGTACAGTGCTGAATTTGATTGGAAGCTTGGGTGGGGTGGCTACTTACAGACGCACAGGCAGTGTCCGTCCAACAACCGGTCCGGTGAAGCGCGATAGACACTGTCACGTTCTTCTCCGCCACAAACGCAAGCCCCCCCGAGGGATGTACATTAACCACGATGATCTGGTGGCTATGGCTGCCGGGCCGCCAGCACCTGCCCCTGCCAGTCAGGGTGACCAAATGTTGAAAGCAATGGATAGGGAAATTATTTCCCTTAAGAGACAAGTAAGTCTGTTCCCAACTCTGCTTCTTGTGCATGATGGTACATGACTTGTGGATCATGTTTGTATACCGATCTGCACAAACACACCTTACTGTGATGGACCAAATTATCTTTTATTTATTTTGTAAGTGCACACCAGTAATTGTAAACATGATTTAATGTTTATTGCAGATGTACTGTAGACCATTACTGATACACTCTTTTGCATGTTTTTAATTACATAAGCAGTCATTCATGCATATTTGTAAATTTGCTGTTCACAATTTTGCTTATTTGCAGTCAAGCTCACAGCAAGATGTTATGAATTTTCCTTAAAATGTGTCTCACAGTGCATTTTCACTAACTTTCAGTTCTCAGCAACTAACATGTCACAGTCTGCCTCAACTCTGTTCCCTGCTATTGTACTGGCACCATTTTGTGAAGTTTAGTTGTTGTTGTTTTTCTTCTGTACACATGCTTTTACCAGAAAGAAGATAAGTGATGTTAGCATTGCAACCAAAAATGCAGAAGTGAAGAGGGAGAAGAATACAGTGCAATCTTGATATAATGAGAATTTGTAATGCTTGTACTAACAGATACCTTGTAATGTCTCAGTATGATTGGAATATATAATCATCGTCTCCATCTTTTATATCTGATTATGTATATCACATTATGGCATTAAAGTTTTAAAAAAATTAATGCTGTTAGGGTTAGCAGGGGAAAAGAGCCAGTTATTTTTAACATTCTCAGGAAACTCTTCAGAGCCACATATATTTTATTCCAGTTGATGCCAGACAGGTTTTACACCAACCTCATCTGCATTGGTGTATATGCCTTTATTATTTTACTATATGCAAAATAACATGATACAATATGAAGATTTCTGTCTTCTTGGTTTTTGCACTGTGTAGTCTGGTCCATGTTAACCAACGTTTTAGGCAGTATGACCTCTGAAACGTTGGTTAACATCGACCAGACTACACAGTGCAACAACCCAGAAGACAGAAATCTTCATTCTCACCGCTGTGAAAACCTCAAATCTTACATGATACAATATCTATGTAAGAAACCCTGACTTTTCAGGTATGACATCACAGGCATGTAAAAATTATAACTATTTACATTTTCTACAAAAATGAACACAGTTGAATGTAATTTTGTAATGTACATACTTACTGTAGTTATTATTGGTAGAATCTCACATATTTAGGTTACATTGGTTGCAAACCCCTGTCTTCAGGCTGTATTTATTTTCTCATGAGTTGGTTGGAAATATAAAAGTAACAACAACAACAATAATAACAGTGATGATAATTCACATTTGTTGTTGCACAATTGCTAATATGTTGAATGCTAAAATATTAAACCATGAAATAGTAATTAAAATGGAAATGCATGCTTATGATTAAACAAAAAGAGATGCGTGAACATTGTGGTTACCATTCTTGATATTTGTTTGAGATAGTTGTGTATGTGGCTATGACTACCTTTCTCAGTTGAGGTTAGTAATGTTTTCCCATAGTCTTTCAGGTGATGTTTGTTACTTGATAGGTTAGGGAGTTATTTAACGATGTTTTGTGAAATACAGAGATTATTTAGCGCTGAATGAGGTGTGATGGTTATTGTGAGTGGCGAGAGATGTGTTTGTTATCTTAAGTTTGGCTACTGGCATTTGCTTATAGGAAAGTCATGAGAAAGTGAGGATAGCCAGTGCCTGCCTTCAGACCAGATATTTCTCAGGTACAGGACAGGTTAAAATGAGTATTTGGTGAAATCATAACACTCACCATACTGCTGTTCCACATAGTATTTCAGACTTTTATGTTTACATATAGAGAAAGGTTCATGTGACAGTTATGATATTTTGTTCAGTCAGTCACAGGTGACTCTCGTTAAACACTTCTGCTGTCTTTTTTCTAAGATATCTGTAGTTTTCAATATCATGAAGAGCATCAGTTTTCTGTCCACAGCCAAGGTAAATGCTGTCGTGCAGGCCAGCTGAGTTACACGTGATTTCACTCTGTCTCCACTATTTCGACTTGGGCACTACAAATTAAGGCCTCTCATGGTGTAGCATTCAGAAAATCCATGTGAATGTTATACATTTTATATTCTTTGCATTTCTTTTATACACAGTGATTTACAGGAACACAACCTCCACATATAATTAGTCGATTGTATTTAGCTGCTAGTTTGTTAGCATGCAGTAACAGTCATTCACAATTAGAAGTTTGAAATTTATTTATGTCAGTTGTTGCATGTTTGTTATGTCTGGTTCACAAAACCTGAAAAGATTGTTCATAGCTGTCTTACTGAAGTAGACACCAGACGTTGAACATTTCACATTTTAAATTTCTATTTACACTGGTGCTATTCTGATGGGCAACATGTTTAGTATTGAATAAACATCAGCTTTTAATTTGGTTCAGGAAGTGTGTGCTAAATTTTGGACAGAATAGTGTTCATCATCTGATGTTTTCAGTTTTTTGGAAATAAGTTGGTCTCACAAATAGTGAATTTCTCATGCTGTCAGCCACAAAATAGGAATCTGTGTATGAGTCTTGAAACTTTGCATTTTCCTCTCCGACCGCTAAAATGTACTGTGCTGTAGTTCTGTCCCTCTTACTGTCTTACGTGTGCTTAACCCTTATCTTTTTGATGAGTTCTTTACATCATATGCACAGAATGTACCCATATAATGTTGGTCATGTGTAATACTTAAAGAGGACATTAAGACTACACTATTTATGTAATTGGGAACTAAATTTAATGATATACTTGTTCATTAATAGTTGTTCTTTGAATAGTATTTGAGCTAGGAGAATTCAGAATTTTCAAAGAATGTTAATTAAGTGTTCTTTATGCCCAGGTGTGAGCAAGGAACATCATATGGGCCTATCCATATGTCTGTCACATTTTCCTTAGGAACTAGGCAACCCACATGATGAAGAGGTTTTGTTAGAGCATGTTGCAACTGTGAACCAAGGTCATTGTTGGAACACAGTTTTTCACAAAATGATCTGGGGCCATTGGTGCGTTTGTTATTCCCTTTGTTGTACTGCTGATTGCAATGCTCATCAGTGTTATGTGAAGCGAAGAACACCTTTGGAGTTGTAGTGTACTCCAAAGAGTACACCTTTCCAGTCTTATTTTGTGGTTCTAGTTTTTAAAACTTGTTTTGAGGGAAATAAAGGATTCTAGATGTGTTGTTTGCATATGTCTGTAGCCATGTGTTGATGAAATTGCATTAAAGTAAAAAAAGAAAGCTGAAAATATCATAAAAGGAAGAAATAAATTCAGATTTCTTTAAGGACAAGATTATGTGAAAAGAGGAAGATGTATAAATAACCATAGTATTGTTCTGCAACTTTAAACTATAATTTGCTGTTTACAGACATATGAAATAATCTTTCTTCAGGTGCAGAATAACAAACAAAGTCTGAGTTCTTTCAAGAGAAAAACTGCTGAGGGGATTGACGATTTACGCCCACCAGATTCAAACAACCGTATCAATGCTCGCTGGACCAATGATGAATTATTGTTAGCTGTGCAAGGTAAATGAATTGTTCTTCCTTTCTTCCTTATTTGTGCTACTGGTATTAATACAGTTACATTGAATGAACTGTAGTTTCTCTTACTGTGAATAACTAGTTTTTAAAATATGTCACTAATCGGTTATGTAATTTATATTTCTCCTTGAGTTATATAGTTACGAAGCTGTCATTTTTAAAAATTTAAGAATCGTAGCAGACCTATCTTACACATGGATTTGCACATTGCAGTTTTGCTTATTTGTGGTAATATTTTTGCCCTTGTGCTCATTGACCCTCACAACTTTAGGCAAGAAATATCAGTGTCATCCCAATAAACACTAGCACTGATGTTTATTTTTATTAATAATTAATTATGTTTTAGTGTCATGTTTTGTCTTTGGTTCCCCTAGCCTCATTTTTCCCACAAGGTCTTTACTTCAGACATTGTGTTTTTACTGTTTACTGGGATTTTAAATAATGTAAACCCTGCAAATGGCAGGGTATGCTGTACAAATAATTTAATGAGGAATTTCCTGTTTGTTTTAGGTGTACGTAAGTATGGAAAGGATTTTCGAGCCATTGCAGAGGTAATTGGCACCAAGACAGAAGCTCACTTACGTAGTTTCTTCGTTAACTATCGTCGCCGTTATAACTTGGATGCTGTGTTGAAGGAATTTGAAGCAGAGAATGGACCTATTGTTGACAGTGATGACAAAGAGGAAAAGGTATTAATCTTTATATTATCTTGGATAACTTCTGGTTTGGAATCAAAGTAACACCTGTGTTATCGCCCCCGCCCCATCCCCAATGTCTATGAGTTCCTTGAACAGAATCTGTAAAATGAGACCAGATAATGGGGAGGGCATGCCTACCAGTCACTTCATAAGTCAACATGTTCCATTTCTGAATGGAGATCATAATCTTCTTCACATCTCGTCAGATTTTGCATAACATGAAGTAATTTATTAGTGAATGTTAGAAGGCTTGAGTGAATATTTATTTATGTAATTGTTCATGCCCAGTTTGCAAGATTGTTCATGTGCATCATAATTTCTTTCACAATTCCAACATTGTTATGTGTGTTCAGATGGAGACAGATGGTGTGTCTTCTGGTAGTGAAGCCAGCACGCCTACTCCTGGGGGTAGCTCCCCTGTTACAGTGGCTCCTGGGTCTCCACCGCTTATCAAGCAGCCGTTTCCCAAGACCACTGTTGGAACAGGTCTTGCTGCTAAATGATACTGGCTCGAGCATGAAATGATGTAAGTTTGCAGCTACCACAAGCATGCTTAAATGAAAGTTAAAAATTAATTTAGTTAAGTCTGAGGTATTTTTAATATTTGCATAATTATCATGTTTTCTTTATTTTGTTATAACTTCTGAACCTAGATTTTTATATTACTATTATTGAACTATAGGTAGTGATTTCCACTTTTGTAATTTTTAATGATCTACCATCAATAATACCACTTGGTAACTGTGAACTTCTGAGGTGAGAATTACACTCTTGCCATATAAGGTTGGATCTTGAAATTTTATTGGGTAATACATCTTAAAGATGTGCAAATTTTGGTGAATTTCTCTTGGAATGTTCAACTGTAATATATCAGCTCCAAGAAATCAATTTAGGTTTCAGTTTGATGATGATAACTGATGAGCCTTTGCAGTTAAGTATGTCATGCTTTATAGATGGTAATTATACTTCCAAATTTTGTGTAAAACAGTAGATCATAAATATACCTAAAATTTTAAATCTAACTAGTTATTGTCATATCATCCATAAATGTTTACAGAACTTTTCAGTATTTCTTGAAATTCTACTGTTGCACTATCACACTGGCACAGTGGTGTTACAACTAAATGATGTGGTTTGACACTGTTGTAGTCAGGTTCTCTTTGTACATTTTTGTTCCTGTGAGTTGCTGCCAGTGTAATTATGAGAAAGACTGGAAAAGTTGTGTAATGAGTAATTAATGGTTGTATAGTACAATAACCACTACAAAAATTGCAACAGGTTCCTATGATATAAACTTTGTATTTAATATATTTATGCATTAATGGTGAAGTTCTTGTGAATGAACCTCATAGGCTCATAAACGAAATGAAATTTCTTGACCAGCTGAGTAGCTGTCAATTTTTAAGGACTACGTTCCATCGAGTTCTTTGTTAACAGCTACAAACATTTCTGTGGCACAGAACTATGATATATTGGTCAAGTTTAATGTAGTCAGAATCTGTTTTATGGAAATTATGCACACAAATGGGACTGTATAATTATTAACTTAGTTCTTGCTCACTTTATAGGTTGAAGCATTCAAAGGAAAGTAGGCATTATAAGATCTATGTGTAGCTTCTTGTTTTATATTATACTGAGAATTTTTTACCTATGATCCAAAAATATATATACACAGGGTTAATATTCCATATTATAATGTTTATACACATTTTGGGACATTCTGTATAGAAGAGTATTTACAAATGAGGGAGGTGTAAAATATGAATGGGATAATCCTGTTCATGCAAAGTTTTGCAGAAATGTGTCACTTTGGTTTAATAGTTATTGAGGTTTTGTGGGATTCAGTGCTTATGCACTCACAGACATACTGATATGAGAAAACATACACACGCACGCCCAATGCTAGCGTAAGTTGATCATTTTTATAAAATACAAAAAGGAGTACTGACATATTAATTGACAAGATTAGTTCAAAAGAATACTTGGTGAAGTATTATTGAAATGAATGACTGGGTAATTGAATGTAAGAGCAGAAGTTATGAAGAAAATTTTGAAATTTAAATGAGAATAGGAGCAGATCTCTTGGGAGACTGAACTTGACAGGCAAGTAGAAAAGAATGGAAAATGAATAATTGGATGCTGTGATTTCTAAATTGTGGGACTGTAGATTAAAAGGCGGCTTTTCTGTATGATCATCTTGCAAAAGTGTAAGGTAGGAGACATTACATTTCTATAAAAAAATTTGTAGTTAAGAATTTATACCCATGTCACATGAAAAGTGTCCTGATTGAAGTTTCATTGTACCTGTTTATTGTTCAACTTTATACTGATGGAACAGATGAATTGTTCTTTGTCGTTTTCCATTTCAGGTAATTTTTATATAGGTTTTCAGTGAAGTGGAAATGGTTGAATTTGAAAAGTGAAGTGGTGAAAATAAGAGAAGTGCTAAAAAGAATGCAGAATATGAAATAATTTGTGATTTGAACTTCAGGAAGTTGTACGTTCCATATAATAATTTCTCTGGTGAAATAATTTGCCTGCGTTATGAATCATCTTTGAACATAAATTTTTAATTTATATCTTGCCTTTATTACTGTCATTAACATTTTATGTGTGTTTGCAGAATTTGTAGTTTTAACTGGGAGGAACTTGACTTAAAAATATGTATTGAAGTGCTTGATGAGTCATAATGTGGATTTTGGAGAGAAAATACAAGTGCACCTTTAGATATTTTTCAGCAGCAATTTACAACTAATATGGTATTTCCAGAATGTAATAATAAAAAAGGTCTTGTTCTAAGTAATGAAGTATTTGTTATTTTGTAATAACTTGGAAATAGAGCAGTTTTTTAACATGATGTTTAATTCAGTCGTAAGATATTGTTGGCATAGTCCAAGTAAAAATATTGATTCTTGAGGCCTAACCTAGTTATTAGATATTTTTCTGCACTTTGTAAGAGAATAACGTGATGGAACTGTTTTGACTGTGGTTTAATATTGTATGTTTGTGTTGGCATTTCATCTTGCTTGGCTGCTATTAAGAGACAATGATGTGAGTTTATTGTGCCCTTTTTTGGATAATTAAATTTGAATTAAGTAGGTTCTCTTCATTTGTAAATGGGAATGGCTGTGTTTTGTTTGTTTAAGAAAATGTGTACTGTCTGGTATGTTTTTGTACAGTTTAAAAATTTGATGGTATTATGATGTTTCAGTGTAATAGATATTTATATTTTACACTTTGTTTCAGTGAAGTGTTTTACATGAGGAAATGAGCAGTCCATGTTTTGGATTTAAAGAATTGTAAGTGACATTGTCCTAAGCTTGTGTGAGTACCGTGGAGGATTCTTTCGTCATTAAAAATAATTTGTGTTAGTAGAAACTGCAATGATTGATGGACATGAAACATCTGTTGTGGCAGTGTGTCATGGTCATAAGAAGATCCTGTAAGGACATGATCTGTACTTCTGAACTGGACTGGAAGCCATCTGAAAGATAAGTACTTGTGTACAGATCTGCAGTAAGTTACAGTTCATAATGCAGCACAGCTTTGTATGCATATAGATTGTACATGCAGCAGCAACAGTTTTACATGTTTTCTGAAGGAAAATTTCCTAATTTAGCTATGTTACATATATTTGCAAGCATTAGGAATGTATGTTAGAAGGGAGGTTGTATTGTTTGTGATTTTGTAAAGGTTCTTTTGAGGTAACAGATATGTACCTTCTTAACATGAATTTGCAAAAATGAAAAGATATGATAGCCAATCACAGGTGAGCACATTTGAGACATGCACTACTTGTTTAATTATTTTTAGACACAGTTTTAATTGCAGACCTTGGACTAATACTTTTACGTATTTATTAATGATGGAAAATACATTATTAATTTGATGTACAATTATATGCTGTAAGTATTAAGAAGTGAAGAATTTGCAGCCAGTGTTTCAGGTATGATATACTTGCAAATGGTAACATTTGTGAATTATAACACTTGTATGAAGTGGTTTTTTGTTAAGTTGATTCATGGGCAGATTAATTCATACTTCAAAAACCAAAGTTACTAAAGATATTTGCCTGAAGTGTACATTTACCTAACATAGATAATCATATTCACATCTTAGCAGTGGCTGTTGAAATACATTGAAACTTTAATATAATTTGTCAACAAATTATTTTGCTTATGGCAGTGAACAGTTGCATATATTTTTTTATTGTCTTCTTTTTTGGTCTATAATCAGTTTTTGTGTACATGGATGTTTGGGTTCATGTCTTATTTTATATATACTAGTATCAATGACACCTGTTTATAGTTTATTCTTTTTCCTTGAAAACTGCACATGTGGAATCTGCAGTTGCTCAGAGGGAATCTGTGTATAGGTCTTAAGGTGCGCACTTACCACTATGCAGTCATTATTTTCTAAGTATTGTATTGAATCTAGCTTTGTAGCATTGTATATTGTAGTAAGAAATTTATATTTATAAAAGATAAATAATTGAAAAAGGGTATTAAATATATACTCCATAAATATTATATAATTTCCATAATAGATTGATGGAGTATGTTTGATTAATTTCTTATATTAGATTCTATTTTCAAATTGGTATTGCAGAGATATTGCTGTTACAAAATTAATTAACGTTCTTTACCATCAGTGTGCAGTCAGTATTTGGTTACCACTGAGTCATGTATTGAAGATGGAATCTTGTGTAATAATATACTAGGTTTCTTTGAGTTAAGGGGATAGAAATGTATTTTCTAATTGAAAGGGAGTTCCGTACACTGGTTCATTATTTGATAGTTCTTAAACAATTTTGAATGTCTGTTGTATTCCTTTCTTTATTGTTATCTTTGTTGAAATGTGAATTTATTTACATGGAAAAGGGAGGAGAAGAAACCTGGTGAGGTAATCTGTTACAGAGTTCGTGGGAAATGTCACAAGTCAGAGGTTTGCTTTGTTCCAGCTGTAAAAGAATGTATTTATATGCCCCTGTCCCAGTTATACATGACTTACAGAGTTTTATATGAGTATATTTTGTAACTTCAGTGAGCAAATCAAAATGAGGTGACATCCATCATACCCCTAATAATGATAACCAAAGTAAGGCTTCAGTTAGTTTGCCATATTCAACATTTTTCTGCCATGTGTTGTTATGTAATCAACTTTAAAAATTCTCCCACAGCCATATGTTGACATGCATACAATCGACAAAATTTCTTTTTACATTCCTGTCATCGTTGATCATGTGTCACTGTTGTCGCTGTGAAATGGCAGTGAATTACTGAATGCTCTATGTGGTGTCTATTGCTATTTGTCACAAGTAACTCAAACTTCTTGAAAAACAGAACATAATTATAGATTTTAGGGAATTAGTTGTTGAGAGGTATTTAAATTGAAGATTGCTATCTTCAAATCCTACATATTTAAATTGCCTACACACGCTGGCTGTTCAAAATTCTGACATTGTGACTGGTAAGGGTTAGTCTCTATTCCTATATGACTGTCACTTCTGCTTTGTCTGATGAACTGCTATACATGTTCTGATTTCAGTTACCCATAGCTCCTTGCAAAGCCTGTGATTTGTTGCTGATTTGAAAGATGTGTTTTCCAAACTTGATTTTTGTTTAATTTCATCATTAAAACTTATATTGAGTAGCAAAGTGAATATTGATCCCTTTCAAATGGCAGATTGTCCATAAAACTTGTAATGGATGTAAATAATTTAAAGGTAGATATAAAGTTTAACATCTGTGTATTATAGACTAATGATTGGACAGGAGAGAATAGCTACACTTCAGTGGAAATTGAATTTAATAATAAAAGAGAGACTGAATTACAACATTTCTTAACTTTAAAAAAGTGGTCAGAATTATTGGACTGAATTCAAGGTTTTAAAGTTTACACAGTTAGGCAAAAGTTAAACCAAAAGTGATCATTACTTTTTAGAGTGCTTCAAACATTTTCTTCAGTATTACAAAACTGCTGATTTCAGTCATGCAGATACACATACAGTTTTAAAACATACATTAATATAACACTAGTTTATGGTAAATTGAATCCAAATTGTTAATCATTCAGACTCAAACCCAGAATTATTTAAATTTTGTATAGGTACTACAGTCAAGTGATTATATATCGAAGACATATCACAATGCTTGAAATTCCCCATTTTCTTCAGTGGGCTCTAGTTTCTTTCTGTGTGCGCACAAACTATTTGAGTTGGTGAAGTTCTGTTCACTGTGGCTGTGTGCCGTTATCAGAACATCAATTTGTGCATGATTACACTGTGTGTGACATCAACAGGTGGAAGGCCCACTGAACATTATGTCAGGTGGAAATTTTAGGGTCACTACAATGCTGTATCCTTAATAATTTGTTCAAACAAGTTAGGGTAGGATATAACAGAAATATGTCTTTACAGTAAAGGAATTTGCAGAGATAAGAGTTCTGGTGGACTATTTTACCAGGTTTTTACTTTTCATTTTTCTGATACTAATCTGTTTTTATGGACTTTAATTAGCACAGAGGATGAGTTTTTTATTTTTAATTCAGTATGGGAACTTAGTAAGTGTTACACAATTCATAAGGTTCTGTAGACTTGTTTCATTTCATATAATTTTTTCTGCGGTCTTGACTTTTCAGTCGCTTGTGTTTTATACGTGACAGTATGATTGTACTTTGAATATAGGTGGAATAAAACGATTGATGACTACATCAGATAAAACTTTTAATGGAAAGCATGGGAAGTCTAAGATTTTTACAAAATAAAACTATATTAGATATCTGTTGAAATGTTCATTGAAGGAAATGAAAACTGGTTATGAAATGTATGTAGAAATGTGGCGATAGTGTAATGAACATGTCATTTAATGACACTGGTTACTTTCTGACTAACTGTATGTTCTTACAATGGTAGTGACACCATTTTTACAGTCTTTTGCTTATTTTTGTCTTAATTTTCAAAACAGTTTAGTCATTTGTGAAATATCACAAGACTTTGTATACTAAGATGTATTTAAACATGAAATGGAAGTGCATTACATTATTTATTATTGTACATGAAGCTTTGTGTTTTTGTTCCTCGACATTTTCGCTCCTCTTTTATCTTCTCTCAGCAGATCCTTATTTAAAGAAGCTTTATGATGACAAAGTATGGTACTGTAGACACCTACAAGACTGCATGGCATCTCAGCATAGAAGTCCACAGTCCATATGTTATACATACTGGGGATACTGGGAATGACCTGTTCTTCAAGTGCCTGAGCACAGAGGGTCCCAACTTTTAGTTGGCTTGATCTATGGACATTTGATATTACTCTTTCGACGAGGGACCGGCCCGTCACAAGGCCTCTACCTGTACACAGGACAGCACAACACAGAAAAACGCGGACAAACATCCATGGCTTGAGTGGGATTCGAACCCATGGTCCCAGCGACCAAGGCAGAACGCCCACGCCTCAGACCGCGCGGCCACTGCGGACCCCCATATTATACATAATCATTGAAATTTGTGACATCATGAGCTGTTTTCTATAAATATGGCATAACTTCAGCCCAGAAGACAGTTATCATCAGAAATCCAGTGTGGGCACAATAACAGATTACCGAAAATTAAATAATGTTTAGCTTTAAAGAGTTGATCTTCTAATTTATATCAGTCTTTTGTTATTTAGACTGTAATGGAGGCAGCAAACACCTCTGAAATGTAAACTTCTATCAGTCTACACAGTGCAACAACCCAGAAGACAGCCATCTTCATAATTGCAACCATGAGAACCTCAAATATCATAATTGCTATATAGCATTTCTGTGTGACCTGTTCATTGAAAAGGGAGTTGTTGGTACCATTACAGTTTGGATATGGATGTTATATCATTAATGCACAAATGTTTTGTCATCAGATGTATTTTCAGCATATGTGACTGCTAAAGTGTGCACTGCTACATAAACATTGTTCTGCCCAGTGGAATCTTTGTATAGAAGTGTTTTACTGTATTTAGTTATTTTTAAACTTTCAGGTGTATTTGGTAAATGCATGAATGTTTAATATATGGAAACTTTTTAGTATTTAGTCATGTTGTATGTGACATATGCATTGAAGTGACCAAAACATATTTTTTGTCGAATATTTCCAAACCACTGCTTTCTTCAGCTCTTATGAATCTTAATCTGTTCTATGGTTCTGTACATGTCAGGGGATTTGGAATGATATGGATGCAATGTTTCTTATGCATGTGTAATTTTTAAATGAATTATCATATTGCTTGGAATCCTTTATGTTATGGATAAAAAGTAGAGTGAAAATTGTTACACACACACACTTTCACTCCAAAGATGGTGCCAAGTTCCAACGTGATACTGAAAGTAAAGCTGCCCCCATGATATGCCATGTAGGTGCTTGGGGGAGAGTTAGGCTCCTACTCATTCTTAACCTCGGCACTAGATGGGGGTGAGTGGTTAGCGTTAGTCCTCAGCCGCGCTTTACCTTCGGGAAAGAATCCTGGTACCTCTTGTATAAGAGGGTGAGTGGGCTCCAGAGCCAGTCTGGATGCAGAGGCTAGAAGAAAAATACTCTTCCCCGTCGGGGATCGAACTGCGGTCGTCCAGTCCGTAGCAATCAATATACTGACCAACGGTTTAAAAAATTTTGATGGGAAAAGAACGTGGGGAAGGCATGTAGACGATTGTGTAGTAGCTAACCTTGTTACCGACTGGTCTACTGTGTCTACAATACATCACCGTTGTGTTTGCATAGAAATTGTCTGTGTAAGCGGCGCTACGTTGCCCATCAGTAATATTGGAGTTGCGCATGTGCAGGTATGTATGCTCGTGGTAATCCCGTCTTTCATGGCACATCAAAATAGTTTTTATGTGGTTACGTATGACAGTAAGGTACGGATTTCAAAATGTTGATATCAAATATGGGTTAAAATGTGGCGGAGTTGTCCCTGTTTTTAAAAAAATCGCATATTGTAGCGTACTCGAGGACTATAAGGGTTGAACTAACCTCAACACAAACTCTTCTAATCTCTAACCTACGTGGTTCCCAAGCTAGATCCCGAATTTGGAGTTCTGGTTTGAATGTGGGGAGATTGACATGTTGTAAAAGAACTCATTTTTGTTATGGTACTAGACTTTCCACAATTCCTACCCCAGCTTAAAACAACATGAAATTTAGTGTCATTGTGCTTTTTTAGAGGGTCCCAACTTTTAGTTGGCTTGATCTATGGACATTTGATATTACTCTTTCGACGAGGGACCGGCCCGTCACAAGGCCTCTACCTGTACACAGGACAGCACAACACAGAAAAACGCGGACAAACATCCATGGCTTGAGTGGGATTCGAACCCATGGTCCCAGCGACCAAGGCAGAACGCCCACGCCTCAGACCGCGCGGCCACTGCGGACCCCCATATTATACATAATCATTGAAATTTGTGACATCATGAGCTGTTTTCTATAAATATGGCATAACTTCAGCCCAGAAGACAGTTATCATCAGAAATCCAGTGTGGGCACAATAACAGATTACCGAAAATTAAATAATGTTTAGCTTTAAAGAGTTGATCTTCTAATTTATATCAGTCTTTTGTTATTTAGACTGTAATGGAGGCAGCAAACACCTCTGAAATGTAAACTTCTATCAGTCTACACAGTGCAACAACCCAGAAGACAGCCATCTTCATAATTGCAACCATGAGAACCTCAAATATCATAATTGCTATATAGCATTTCTGTGTGACCTGTTCATTGAAAAGGGAGTTGTTGGTACCATTACAGTTTGGATATGGATGTTATATCATTAATGCACAAATGTTTTGTCATCAGATGTATTTTCAGCATATGTGACTGCTAAAGTGTGCACTGCTACATAAACATTGTTCTGCCCAGTGGAATCTTTGTATAGAAGTGTTTTACTGTATTTAGTTATTTTTAAACTTTCAGGTGTATTTGGTAAATGCATGAATGTTTAATATATGGAAACTTTTTAGTATTTAGTCATGTTGTATGTGACATATGCATTGAAGTGACCAAAACATATTTTTTGTCGAATATTTCCAAACCACTGCTTTCTTCAGCTCTTATGAATCTTAATCTGTTCTATGGTTCTGTACATGTCAGGGGATTTGGAATGATATGGATGCAATGTTTCTTATGCATGTGTAATTTTTAAATGAATTATCATATTGCTTGGAATCCTTTATGTTATGGATAAAAAGTAGAGTGAAAATTGTTACACACACACACTTTCACTCCAAAGATGGTGCCAAGTTCCAACGTGATACTGAAAGTAAAGCTGCCCCCATGATATGCCATGTAGGTGCTTGGGGGAGAGTTAGGCTCCTACTCATTCTTAACCTCGGCACTAGATGGGGGTGAGTGGTTAGCGTTAGTCCTCAGCCGCGCTTTACCTTCGGGAAAGAATCCTGGTACCTCTTGTATAAGAGGGTGAGTGGGCTCCAGAGCCAGTCTGGATGCAGAGGCTAGAAGAAAAATACTCTTCCCCGTCGGGGATCGAACTGCGGTCGTCCAGTCCGTAGCAATCAATATACTGACCAACGGTTTAAAAAATTTTGATGGGAAAAGAACGTGGGGAAGGCATGTAGACGATTGTGTAGTAGCTAACCTTGTTACCGACTGGTCTACTGTGTCTACAATACATCACCGTTGTGTTTGCATAGAAATTGTCTGTGTAAGCGGCGCTACGTTGCCCATCAGTAATATTGGAGTTGCGCATGTGCAGGTATGTATGCTCGTGGTAATCCCGTCTTTCATGGCACATCAAAATAGTTTTTATGTGGTTACGTATGACAGTAAGGTACGGATTTCAAAATGTTGATATCAAATATGGGTTAAAATGTGGCGGAGTTGTCCCTGTTTTTAAAAAAATCGCATATTGTAGCGTACTCGAGGACTATAAGGGTTGAACTAACCTCAACACAAACTCTTCTAATCTCTAACCTACGTGGTTCCCAAGCTAGATCCCGAATTTGGAGTTCTGGTTTGAATGTGGGGAGATTGACATGTTGTAAAAGAACTCATTTTTGTTATGGTACTAGACTTTCCACAATTCCTACCCCAGCTTAAAACAACATGAAATTTAGTGTCATTGTGCTTTTTTACACCTTTTATTTGTGAAATGGTTTAATTTCAGTTTTATCAGGAACTTAAAAATTAGCTAATTCAAGTTGGTTTATAAAAATACAAATTTGGCTCAGTGTTGGAGGAAAAGCGGGAGTATAATGGGTCAGTTCACCAACTATTTGTTGAGTTTAGGAAGGCATATGACAGAAGAGAGGTACTGTATGGCATTTTGATTGGGTTTGGAATACCAAAGAAACTTGTAAGGTTAATTAAGATGTGTATTGACGGGGTATCTAGTAGAGTTTGTATAGGTAACCGTCCTAGTTCACAATGGCCTAAAACTGAAGGATCCTTTATCCCCAATGCATTTCAATTTTGCTTTGGAACATTCCATCAGGAAGGTCAGAGGGAATCAGGAAGAATGCAAATTGAATGGTCTGCACCAGGTACTTGCCTATGCTGATGTTACTGAACCTCACATACAGTATTCTGACTAACTTAATCTTCCTAACCTGACCTTGAATGTATGTTTTATTTAAGATACAAACCATTTTAGATTATTAACACAACTGCTCACCAAACTGTAGAGATACCAGATTTGTCCAAGTTGTATGTACTATTTGGTCTATTGTGGGGGTATAATTTGAATGTAGAATTTAATTATGTGTACATATGTAACATGATTTAATTTCCAGTTATTTGAACAGTCATGGAAGAAATAATGAAAGACAGTCGCTTCTCCCACATAGCCCAGGACCCACGTTTTAAAAGAATTCCAAAACGAGAGAAGAAAATAAAAATTGACAAACGTTTTCAGTCTATGTTCAAGGATAAAAGTTTTAAAGTGAATTATACAGTTGATAAAAGAGGTCGTCCAATATCTCATACATCGAGTGAAGATCTAAAGAGGTACTATGCTCTTTCATCTGATGAAGATTTAGAAACTGAATGCAACAAGAATGATGAAACTAACAAAGAGTATACTCAGATTTCTTCAGTTAAAGTCAAACTTGTTGAAACTGGAAAAGATGGTTCAACTTCAAATAACATAAATAAAATTAAAGATAATGTTATGAAAGATAAATTAAAGATTAAGGAACACAATGTGTGTTTTGAAGGACAAAATAGTAATTTACTGAAAAGAAAAATTGATCAACACAAGTTGGAATGTGGTGTAGAATTGAACACTGATAATGAAGTTCCAAGTGATGAAGATAATAAAAATAAAGAAAAGGAAATTGTGGCAGACAGTATAAAGAAAAAGTTGAGAGATCTTACAGTAGATTATGCTCGTGGTGAAGGAGTACTTTTCTGTGACAGTTCATCAGATGAGGAAAGCTCAGAAACAGGTTTGATTCTTACCTATGTTTTTATAGTTTGAGATCACTTGTCACAATTATAATTTTGTTAATAAGATACTGATTGCATAATCTGTAGTATGTGTGCTACTTTATTTCCTGAGAATTATTATAGTTCTGCAAAGACTTGTGTTTTTATGCTCAAGCATGTAAGTGGTAGGTTACTGAAATATTTAACACAACATTCAGCCTTTCTTAGATTGACTTGGAAGACTTAAATAATCTGTTTATTTATGTATATTAAGTTGTACATTACTTTCATAACGTTCTGTTATTGTCAGGTTCTGAAAGTGAAGAATTAGACCATGGGTGGGGAGAGCTAGATCATGATGCTGATCAAACAGATGTGACAACAAATCGATTAGCAGTATGTCACATGGACTGGGACAGAATCAGGGCTAGTGATCTGATGGTTCTCTTCTCCTCCTTCGTGCCACAAGGAGGACTTATTCATTCTGTAACAGTATGTGTATTGGCTAGTTTTAAGATTTGTTATTGCTTGTTTTATTATGGTAATAAAGATGTACAAGAAGAAGAAAATAAGCAATTTTTTCTGGAAACTTGAAGGAAGAAGCCACTTAACAGACTTAGACATAAATGAATAATTTTGAACATAGTCATGAACCTTTGCATTTTATAAAAGTAAAGTAATTTCTTGGTATGTAATTGGCCATTAACTATATGTACCATCTACTTTAACAATCAGTAATTCTGTGTTTTCCCACAAAGTCTATGTAACCAGTGGGTTTTGTATGATTCTCAGTATAAACAGCAATTATTTCTTAAACAAAATTAACCACTTCATTTTTGTAATGTATAAATGTTATGTTTTCTTTGAGGTAGGGACTGAATGTTAAACATTATTAAGACAGTCTTTCACTTCAGAGTGTTAAAAGATGTCTATTTACTATTTTAAATTATATTGAATACAAATTATTAAGATCTGAAAATGTATTGAACCTTATATGTGAATCTAATATGGGTTTTTATTTTTGTGTCATTGTATGTGTGTGTTAGATTTATACTCTTGAAAATGTGGGCGTTTGTTTATTACCATTAGATATGGAATAATACTTCGAATGTTTGAGTAGCAGCCTTGGATATTACTTTCACTTCTGTGGTAGATCCTGGCTGCAGTTTGCAAAGACTTCTAATAATCCTCAGCATTTAATAAAACATTTCTGGTATCGTGGTACAATATTTTAATTGAGAAATTAAAATTAAAACTTCTCTTTAAATAATATCCTGGGCTGTTATTAACAGTTTCTGTAGTAGAACTTGGCTAGAATTTTAGCACAGGTTATTAATTAGGTCCTAGTATTTAATAGATAATTTGCAGTATGATGATATAATACTTAAATTTGGAAATGTTTACTTATTTACTAGCACTTTTTTGTGTATAAATTATAACAGAAATTGAAACATTAGTTTAAAGAATTTCCTCAAATAAAATTTTCAGTGCCATCAAAATAATGAGATGTATGGTGCTCTTTATTACGAAACTTTATCTTTGCAGATCTATCCATCAGAATTTGGGCTGAAAAGAATGAAGGAGGAGGAAATTAAAGGACCACTTGAGCTAGTGGGTAATGGAAACTCTGTGCAAGATGAAAAAGAGATAGAGGATGGTGAAGAGGTGTGTATTTATTTATTATTACAATGGTTTAAATTAATTTTGCATTGTGCTTAATTTACATGGGGTGCTTCAGTATTATACATTGTTTCAGTAGAATGAAGAAGGTAGCAAATACCATATGGAGAAACTGCGGCAGTATCAACTTAATCGTCTAAAGTACTACTATGCTGTATTGGTGTGTGATTCTGCAGTAACAGCAAATAAGATCTATACTGAGTGTGATGGCTTGGAATATGAAAGTAGTGCAACACGCCTTGACTTGCGGTTTGTTCCTGACAGCACAAAATTTGAGGAGGTGAGCTGCTTGCTTCTGATCAGAAAATTGTAATAAGAACTCACTGATATTCAAAGTAACTGTTGACAGTTCAGGATAATTCATTTGAAATAAAAATCATCACATATGTTTACATTTAGGTCATGGGTAAAGTTTACTGATCAGTATATTTTTAGCAAAGATGAAGGAATTTGAATGTTATTTTAAATAAAACTAGCTTCTGTATTTCAGCTTTGTGTCAGTAGTTTCTTAAAAAAGAATGTCAGTCAGTTATATAACATATTTTTTTCTTAGAAGCCGCACGAGATTTGCGATAGGCTTCCTGATCTTTCAAAGTACCAGCCTCGATACTTTACAACTACTGCATTACAGCAAGCCAAAGTGGAGCTGACATGGGATGAGACAAATCCTGAGAGAAATGAAATCAACCAGAAACTTATGTCTGGCCAGGTTGATGGTATAACTGAAACAGATTTGCGGGATTACTTGGCATCTTCTAGTGAAGAAGAGAGTGATGGTAATACTTGGCTTTTACTTCCCTTCAGTTATTTTCACAGCATTTTTGTGAACTGAAATTGAAATGCACAGTGGGATAGCTTTTTATTTGAAACTAAACTTGTGTATTTAAGTAGACACATGTAAATGTCATGATTTCTTTCAAAAGAGTTTTGATGATATATAAAAGTGAGTTCAGATCATTCAATTGGAAGGTAAGGTAACTGTATTAAATTGAAGGTTTAAATTTGGTAGTCCTCAACATAATAAGGCTTATTGCTATTATAACTTGGCACTTCAAGAATGAAATGTTAACCCTTTAAATCCTAGTGGTAACTATATGTACCACATACTTCCACTATCAGTAGCTCTGCATTTTGCCCACATAGTGTATTTATGTATTATGTATGGTTATTAGAATAAATAGTCATTATTTCCCTATTAACCATTTGATTTTTGTAATTGAGATGTACTTTGTTATCTTTGAGGTAGGAACTGAATATTTAAATACTATAAATACAAGCTTTGGCTTGAGGGGGTTAATATGCTTCATATAGGGCAAGAAGTACTGTAGAATAATGCTTTATCCTGGCATTGTTCCAGTGTTGTCAGATGTAAGAAAATGCAGCCATATGCATTAGTGAATAATTGCCTTTGGAAATGTGTGAAAAGGCGTATTCTTAGTAAAACAGTCTCCAGTATATCACAGTTACGATATTACAATACTGGTATGGTCTAACCATGATATATTTTTAAGTGTTTGTATTCTGATATTTCATAGTTGTTGTTAATGAAGAACTAGAAGTAACAAATGAAGTTACGGCTGACCCAGTTTCAAAATATCGAGCTTTGCTGAAAGGAATTGAACAGGAGGAGGAGAAGAAGAAGTTTCATGATGTGGAAATGGAAATTTCTTGGGGAGTTGGTCTGAAGGATAAGACAGAGGAGCTGGTTCAGAAGAAGTTGAATGAAAGAAAAAATGATTTAACACCATTCGAACAATATCTGAAGAAAAGAAAGGATAAGAAAAAGCAGAAAAAGGAAGAAAAGATAAAGAATATCCAACAGGTAGTAACTGTTGTGTGATTTGTTTGAAGTCACACATGGCCTACAGTAGGTTTGCTACTGAGACTGGATAGTTCTTTAAGATTATTAAACAATATCATAAGTTTGCATGTAATAGGTGCATTTGGCAGAAGGAATTATAAATGGCATAAACAGTACTGATGTGACATAAAACTTGCTCACATTGACACACACACATGCATACATACATTATTTTATGCTGTCAACTTGTCTCTCACAAGAGAGCCAGCATTCTTCCTAAACTATGTAGTGTAGAGAGGTGAGATTTAGTGTAAAGACCCTTGAGACCTACTACATTTCCTGCACTTATAGTTCTGCATTGCATTTATGAAATGAACATTTGTAGCAGCTTGAAAATGGTACTACATATTCAAAATGCCTAAACAATTTTTTAACTTGAAGATTTTTGTGTTCTGGGTTGTTGCACCGTGTAGTATGGTAGATGTTTACCAATGTTTCAGAGGTCACACTGTCTGTCATCAGGGTGATCCTTGACTTGAACTCAAACTTTGAAAGTAATGTAGAATTATCTTCCTCAACTGAGGTTTTTTTACACACATTAACAGTGAATAATGACCGAACTGGCTGGAGTGGCACTAATGCCGTAGAATTTTGTTTGTAAAAGTATCAGGTTTGAACTTTGGCTATCATAATTGAGATTTTTATAGTTTCCCTCATTCTTTTGATAGGAATGTCAGAATAATACCTGAAGTAGATCTTGACTGTCTCTTTTTCCTTCTCTTTATTTACCATTCATGATCATTTTGCCATCTCATTTGACATTATATAGGCCTAATTGTTGTAATTCAAATAGTGCCATTAAATACTCGTCTCAAACTTGTTTTCAATTGTTAACAGGCGAACGAAACTTCAGGTAATGAATACAGTGATGATGATATTCCATCTGACATTGATATGAATGATCAGTATTTCAAGGAAGAGTTCCAAGGAGAATTTAAAAAGAAGCACAGCAAAGAGAAAACAAATAAACTATCTCTTTCAGAAGATGAAGGAACAAAACATAAAAAGGTATGTAACTAGTTAAAAGAATGCTTTTATGCAGTTTCAATAGGCTTTTAATCATGTTTGTAATAATACCAATCTAGGATGAATATTTTGAGCGCATACTAAAACTTACTGGCAAAATGTGCTTTTGATCTGAAATAGAAAACATGGTATAAAGCTTTAGGCCTGTAAAACGGTCTTATTGTACCACTGGATGTATTTCAGTATAAACTAACAAGGATATATGTCTCTAATATACAAGATTTTATGAAATTTGGTATAAATAAAGCGATGTGTCCCGATAACCCACAAGTACCAATGTGACACCACTGGATATATGGCCAGCTTCATACTTTTTAATGTGTTTTATGTACAGAATGCATAATGGTGAGGCTGTATCTGTTTTTGTTGACATTTGAGATTTGGGTTCTGCATTGAAAGTTGCCAGGCAGATTTAATCATTTTGGTTTCTATTTGTCCAGTATATCTATTTATGGTATTCAGTTCTACAAACTTTTTTTGAAATATTTCTTCATTTAATAAATTTGTAGGTTTTAAACCAAGATTAGAGTGATACCAAGTTTTATTAAAATTTCCTAATGTCAGATTCAAAGTTACTACATGCAGACAGATGAAGCATATGGTACGGCTAATATGCACATTTCTGCAGCTGCATTGCGAACATATCTGAAGGTGTTTGTAGTTTAAAACGTCATTTTTTACATGAAGTTGTTCATCACTGGTCTTTAAAGTCGTAGATGATCTTTTTAGTTTTGAGATTTGAGGTTATGTTAGGTGAAGACGTTGATAGTGTTCTGATTTGTGTTGCTGTGGGGGCTTGTGAGTACTAGCCTCCAGCCCTGAAGATGGAGGCTGTGTGTTCTTTGAAAACATTGGTACCTACTTACACATCCACGTTACACCAAAATTAAGATCATAATCAGAATGACAAAATTTTGTTGTATATTTTTTTTCAGGCTGAATTAGAATTGCTTCTGTTGAATGAGGGTAGTGAAAAGAAACATTTCAGTCTCAAGTCCATTCAGGAGCAAGAAGTAGAAGGCAAGAAGAGGCATAAGAAAAAAGGAAAGAAGAAATTAATTAAAGAGGAAAGCAAACAAGATGATTTTGAGGTAATTTTGCTGTTTAAGTTATAAAATGAATACTAATTTGGTATATTATACTAATGCCACAGAAACTATACTAATCCAAGAAACTAAATTCAAACAAATATCATGAGTATCATCAATTATATAGTTACAGGATTAGAAAGTGAATTATTTCTGTTCCTTCTTTTAGTTAATTTTAATTTTGCACTCAGTGATAGATAAGATAAGTGTATTTGTCTTCCTCTGACTGTTCTGTCAAATTTTAAATAGAAGTGCATTCTTAGTTTTTATGCAAGCTGTCTTCTTTTAAACCTTTGATTGCAGTTGATTGTCCTGCGATTATGGAACATAAACATTCAGAGGTATTGGTATTGGTAAAACTTATTGCATGTGCCATAAATGTGTGATTCCTGTGAATTATGATGACCATTTTATTAATTTTCTTCTCCCTGTGGAGTAGTGTATTTAAACCATTACTAGCCAAGTTTCCAGTACTAATGAAAATATAATTTTGCTTGGAATAAATGTGAAGTGTTGATTTTAAATTTACAGGTCAATGTGCAAGATGAAAGGTTTTCTGCACTTTTCTCTTCTCATCTTTACAACATAGACCCCACAGACTCTCATTACCATAAAACCAAGGGAATGGAAGCTTTCAGGTCTGAGAAACTGCACCGTAGACAAAGTGATGTGAATGACAATCCTGATGTGGTAAGCATAATGTATGACCTGCCTTCACAGCATTATGATGAAGTGTTGTGTAATGTCTCAGGAATGGGTAGGAAATTTATTGATAGGATTTCCAAAGGGCTCTTGAGACTTTCGAATACTTGATCATGTAAATTACTGTACAAGTTTGTTACTACAAGTACTTAAATGTAGTATGCCATCAACAACTTATGAATTGGACTTACCAGCATGTTCTGTCCCCATTAAAATCTACCTTGGTGAATCCAGCTTGTAGATTTTTCAATATTCCTTTTATCTCATGGACCATAATTCAAAACTCTGATAAAATTTTTGTCCATTCTTACATCATGTTCACTAAGTTTATTTCTGTAGTCAAAAATTCTTTATAATTTATTTTGAATATCTTCACTCTTCTTTTGACCTGTGTGCTCAAGTGTTGCTGATTTCAGAAGAAGAAAAATTTCAGCAGCTCCAGGTACTGCTGTTGCCTGGGCTTTTAACTTTCTGAAAGAACAGGTCTTGTTATTATTATCTTACAAAATTTTAAGTATCCTCAAGGCTTTGATGTTAAAGGTCCATTTCACTGTGCCATTTATCCTCTGGACTTAAATGTAAATTCATTATATAAAGATAAAATGACATGAAAAATTGAATATAGTCTTTTTTTCCAGTTATCAGCTAAAATCCAGAAGATGGACACAGTTTGTGGTAAGAATCCTGAATTATCATTGCTTGTTGAAACAGTTAAAAGAAAAACACGTTTGCACAAAGGAGCAAGGTGATAGCTATAAGAAAAATTGTTTTTATTGCAAACAAAACATTTATTTCCAGCCACTAAATTATTGACAGAATAAATTTTCAATTTCTGAAAAATATATATATATGTGTGTGTATATATATATATAATGTAAATTGTTGGCTGTAAATAAGTGACTTAACAGAATTACATTTCTATGTGAAATGATAATTAAATAAGTTTTTATTAAAAGACTAAACACCCTTCAAAGGAGCAACCATACCATTTATCCAATTCTGCCAACAATCTGGGCCCCTAAATCCTTTTCTGGATCTTTATCAGGAATTTCTGATATATATCATAACAGACTAGTGAAAGGGCTGCTGTTATATTTGTTTCAAAACTGCATAGCGGGAAGAAACGACTGTTTTTCTGCTTACATAAAATTTATATAATAAGAATGTGTGGAGCTGTACCTCCACTCCCACATAAATCTGCATGATGTGGTGCATAGTGAAGCACCAGGGACAATTTTATGTTTACTTTATTGCCTCATATTTCAACCAAACTTTGTATGAAATCTAAGCTACAATAATTTGTGCAGTACAATCAGGGTTATCAACCCACAGGCTGCATGGGGACCAAGATATATTTTATATTGGTCTGCATACCCTTGTTGCAACAATTGTGTCACTCTGTATAATTAAAAATAGTTAATATCAGAAAACACATTTTATTAATATTGTTGGAATTTGACAGACACTTCACTGTGAGCAGCTTGATGAAAAACATCAAACTAGGATATGTATCACTGATGAACAGACAAGTAGATGCATGCAAATCTCCCAAAATAAACTTGATACTGAAAGATTACTCAGGTAAAACCAGTGACAGATGTCACTAATGATTGATTCTGTTAAATAAAATAAAAAGTATTAAGCAGTATATGACCCTGCTTCTAATATTTAGTAGAATTTTTAATGAATTACCATGAAGCTTCAATGAATTGTTCTCATTTATGTCATAGTCTGAAATTAATTGAGGAAGGGTGAATGTGACCCTAGGACTAGAAAGGGTTGAGAATACTAAGTTTATAACTCTACAACTCTGAAATGTTAAAATTAAGTCCCTTGGTAATATATCTGTGTAGACCACTGTTCAGTGTAACTTTGTATGTTAATCCACAGAGTATGGAATTGGTGGATGTCTTAGGGATAAGAAAAGAATACAGAAATACTGCAAAACTTTGTTAATCCAGAACTAAAGGACCAAAATTAATAGACTTAAGACTAAAAAATTTGAATTAGGACTGATATTTGGATTATTGGACACACAACCATCTCAGGATGTATATGACCTAATAGTAAAGAAATTTGCAATGTCATGTAGTTGTTACTGGGGAAAATGTATCTTCAAACTGTAACATTTACTATCATATTATTGGCATAAAGTACAGCATAATGTTTCTTGTTGCTAAACAGTGGTTGACCACATATTGGGTATACATTACAGTAACTCATTTTAATGAAGTGGACTGATTCTCTGAAAGTTATGAGTTAAAACTTGTTAAGGATGAATTTTAATATGGGTACTAGATATAGAAAGTAATGCATATATAAATAACATTAAGGGATAGTAAATATATAGCACATATATACCTATTTCATGAATAGTAATTCACTGAAAATGAAGAGTATTAGTTAAAACATATGGTACAAAGGATTAAGAAGCAGTGCTGTTGAACATGGGCAAGGAGTCATTCACAGAATTCGATACAGGTTCCAAGGCAGCCGACAGGAACTGGCTTGAAGTGCTTTCATTGTAGCAGATATTCATTATTAATTTGAAGATTCATAAAATGAGTTAGTGTACTCAAACTGTAACATTTTGATTGTAATTTTTAAAACATTGATGACACACATTCCTTCAGTCCACATTCAGAATGTGATTAGTGGTATTTTCCGAGTATAAATGTGCTTAATCGCATCCAAATACTTTTATTTGTTATATATCCTTTCGCTTCTATCTGAAGCATAGGGCCTCCTTTTTGGAGGTTCCTTTATCTATTTAGACAAGTGATCAGCCCATTGCAAGGCCTCTACTGGTACACAGGACAACACAACAAAGAAAGACGCGGACAAACATCCATGCCTTGAGTGGGATTCAAACTCATAGTCCCAGTGTCCATGGCCCATGCCTCAGACCGCGCGGCCACTGTAACCGGTGTCCAAATACTTTGCATAAAGCAATTTTCTCCCATCATTACCTGGCAGGTTACTCCAATCCATAATTGCTAAGAGAAACCAAACACTTCCCCTGATGTAATGGCATGACAACTTGGTATCACATGCATTGTTAAAGAAGGAAGAGCCATAGTACTCACTATAAATATGAAAAATGCCCCTTATGTTGCTATGGCTATTTTCTCACAATATATAACATAGAAGACACAAAAGTCAGAAGTATATGTTAGAGATTATCTAAAATTCATTTTCCAGGAAAAGTGTACATAAACTATTTGAAGAATACAGTTTCTGCAACAACAGTTATGTGTTCTTACTCTTTTAGGCATCTTTCCTTCTGTCATTTTTCTCCAGCTTCAAAGTAGAAACATATCCATTGATGTTCCTGCTACAGTGAAACCTCTATCCATCGTTCCCGGAACTATCGTTTTCCCGGATGCATCGTCCGTTTTGTTCGGTCCCGAATACATCCCATATAAAATAATGTTACATTTTCCCGCTTCTATCGTTCCTCGAACTATCGTTTTATCGCATCGATCGTTCAAAAATCGTAGTCCCGGCCCACAATTTTCCCGCAATGATCGTTTCTGAGAAATTAAAATGCTGGGTTTTGAGATAAATTAATACCGAAAGACGCACAATGTTTTTGGAATAAACAGTAGCGGTAACCTGTTATGTCGCCCAACCAGCACATTCTTTTGGAATGAGGGTCAGCGGTGCAGGGGTGATAGTTGGAGTGAATGGCGGTGCCCATTGTCAGAAATTTTACGATTTTAATTAGGGTACACTCATATTTCGTTCCAGCGATGCCAGATGGCATGTGCAGTGTGAATTTCTTCACAAATGCTTTTATTATAAGTACAAAGGAAAGACGGGCGGCACTTTTCATTCTTCTGGTTCATCTCGTTTCCAGCGGTTCTGGGTCTTCTACAGCTACGTTTCGTTGAGTTCGGCAGTAATAGTATGAGGCTCGTCCTTAAAGTAAGTTTCCCTGGGGCCGTTTACAGAAACAAAACACAATTTCATGGAAATATTTATTGCAACAGATACAGCAAGTGTCCAGCTATTTTTCAACATATTCGCCACCGGAATTGAGACATTTGTCATACCGTGGGACCAACTATATTTTTTTAATCTTTGGTCTAAAAAAGAAATAAGGGAGATTTAAGTGCCAAAACAATATATCCATTAGACGTAGGGGCCAATATTTTTGACAGTAATTGTATATTTCCAGCAGAGTGATAAAAATAATTATGTATTTACATTTATTTTACAATATAAACATTTAGTAAATTTGACCTATAAATACAGTACATAATTCAATCCTTCACACATCAAACACATAACTATATTATATGAATAACTAACATTCAATGAAACAGATGTAACAAGTAGGTATTTACAGATTATCCAAACTAAACGGTTAGATCTTTTATACAGTAATAAAACCTTCAGACACAGGTACTAAATCTTTTGAGGAACAATTTCCTCAAAATATTAAGTTCTTCTGGGTATACTGCTAAATAAGTAACACTTTTAAAGGGACATGTTATTTGCATAGTAATGAAGTATAAACCATATAGATGTTAAATACAAATTTACATTTTTGTAGTATATTTCTTTTATTATAATTTTCTGAAGAAATACATAGTAAATGTCTGTCTTTAAAGAAATTAAGGTTGAAATCCTTATCCCAATGCCAATTGTCAAACATAAAACAAAGTAAACACTGAAAAATGTGTTCTTGTATTCATCAACCTTCACACCTGTTCAGTGTGTTCTCTTTTATACAATGCAAATTACAATATTTACTTTGTGACATTTACAGGTGTAGGCTTGTAAAACTTGTTTGGACCAATCAAGCAATTCACTGTTCACATTGAAAGCAAGCAGAGCAACAATCTCCTTTCCTTCTAAGACAGCATGTAGCCAACTAGTTTGTTTCATTAGAAATTATATTTTTATTGTTACGTAGTAACAAAATCAATAACACCATATTTACTCAAATACAAGATACAAGTTACAATGACCTGGTTTGTAAAATTATTAAATTATGGAACTGAATTAGTGGCTTTCAACAACAGTCTGTACATAAGAACAATGTCTGCTGAATTACTGCCCTTGATCTTGTATTTGAGTTAATATATTACAAACTATTTCCTCAGGAAGTTCTGATGTTATCTTCATCTCAGCCACAATTTTAGGCGTAAAGCATCAACACCATTTAAGTAATACCGGAACAACCTTTTGTCTCGCACAAAGCCAAGATTCTCATATAAGCGTAAAGCTGGGCGGTTTGTGATTTCTGTCTCTAGAACAACCTGTTACAGAAATAAAATAAGTTTAGTAAATTTGGGCTAGCTTTTTTAACCCTTGGAAGCATGAACTTCATCTAAATAGTATTTAAAAAAATCCAATTATTAACTCAAACATCTCTGAAGATCAATTTGTTAATGCTGTTTTGGGAAGTAATTGCTGTTCATTCTGAGAACTGTATTAAAGTCTTATTCATAAATATACTCTATAAGCAAAATGCAGAGTTACTGAATGTTAAAGTTGGTGTTATATGTAAGTTAACACTGCGCTTTAGAGAGTTAAAATCATACAGGCCAGCAGATGCAGAGTTCAAAGATATGACCACAATTATGTGGTGTTTTGAAAAAAGAATAATTCTACATTAGGCATTATGCTCAAAAAGTGCACAATGGACTTCTTATGGCTTTCAGAATAAACAATTATTGTATTAACAATCAATGACCTTTGTTAAATGAGGCACGATGTGTTTTTTGGAGGTAAGGGATTAAAAAGATTTTTCCTCACTAGTTGCCAGTTTCTCACTGCAGTGGCCCAAGTTCATGCTCAAGGCAGTGATGAATCATACTATTTTATATAATTTTATGATTCAAATTACCTGTAGAATATACTTCCAAAGTCTGGCTAAAAGTATTGGGGTATCCCATATGTAATAGCAACTCCACACAGTGTTCCTCATGATGGCAGAGCCAGTCTCCAAAACACTGGTTTTTTGCTCAAGAATAATGGAATTGAACGCCCAAGAGAATATTTGTGCAATAATAGACCAGACTGCAGTATAATACAAAAAGTACTGTACTATAATTTGATGCAGTGTGGAAGCATCAAATACTACTAGAATGTGACCTTCCTTATTAGGACAATGAATTTTTGCTTCACACTTCCTTTCAATACTATGATATAAAAAGAGAAGTAGAAAGTTACAACATACCTCATCTGCATCATCTGCAACCATGGCTCGGATTGCTTTCAAAACTAGATTTGAACCTGAAAATACAAAATGAAATTAGCTTCTTTGCAAAAATGTGAACTTTATTTTGTTTTATAATATCCCTATTATGATGTTAATAGGATTCAGATATTTTACTGTAATTAAGAATTTAGCAATATATTATACAATGTGAAAGACTTTTCAAGAACTTGCCTATTTTTCTTTTCCGGTATTTTTCATCAACAGCCAACATAGCTATGTAACCTCGTTTCACAACCTTCCGATGAACATCCAATTTGCACACAATGGCACCCACACATTCGTTGCCATGCATTGCCTGCAGTTAGGGGATAATAACATATGAGAATTCTATCATACAGGATTTTGTGTTTTAATTGAAAGAATGCAATTTTTAATACCTACCAAAAAACACAATTTTGGCCAGTTATGTATAAAATATCTATATGTGTATATAGAGTATGGTTCTGAAAGATCTTTTTGAATAAGTCTCATAATGTCAGGCATCTGAAGCTCAGATTTGTAGGACACATATTTAACATCATCTTTTGTATCTGTTGTGTCAATCCTGGATACATCATCATTACATTTTACGTTTTCACTAGATGTAGTTAGCTTATCTGGATGACTCTGCATACAGTTCGATACACATTTATAGTCTGTGGCATTAGTTTCACCATCAATACTAATTTTGTCACACGTATCACAATGACTAGATGTTCCAGAGTTCGAAGTTTTGTCATTTGAAATTGAGAAATGTTCAGATTCTGTTGTATGGGACAGATCAACGCCTACACCCAAACCATTCACAATTCCATTCACACTTGTTCCACATTTCAAACTGAGTTTTTCCTTTAAGTGTGCAGAAACTTGAGAAATTTTTGCCAATTTGTCTTCATTTTGTTCGGGGGATAACTTTGGTGCGGAAGGTATAATAGTTAGGTTACAGTTTTTATCTTCTTTTGGTATCTTCGGATCATCCAGTCCTTTACTGCTGTTGATATTCTGTTTTGAAGCACTGGTCTTATGTTGAGATTGCACTTGGGCAACAGAACCTTCAGTATCCAAAAGCTCAAAAGTATCGTCCATTTTGACTACGGGTTTTAAAATTATCAACTACCTGCATTCAAATACAAGAGTCATTTGTTAATCCCTGCACTACATATCAGCCATTATGGTCACAATTAAATTGTTCGTTCGTGCTGATTCTAAGTTATGAAATAGCCCAACTTTATCAATGTTCAGCCATATTGGATTTTGCGTACAGGTTTCTGGGACAGATTTTTATGTTTTCATTATTTAAATAATGAATTTATTCACTGAAATAACAAACAGTGTTATCATATTAGTTGATTGATAATTATTAATATAAAATGTTATCAGCTGAAATATCATATACTTCAACCAAGCACTATTTTTGTTAAGACAGTTACTTTGTATATCTACGCTTAGTTCCGAAAATTGCCAGCAGATATGCTAAATAGCTAAGTATTAACTGTGGTGTGTAGTAAGATTGAATAATTCGATAGAGTATCGATAGTGGAGCGAACGATTCAGCTGTTCTGGTTCAATCAAACTGAAAATATCATATAAATATTAGGAAATGAGTGAAAATTTTGCTGACGTGAAAGACCTCCACATAATTAACCAAGCATCGCGTTTGGTGTAAATTCTCTGATCGAGAGCTTGAGGAGCAGGCTCCTGCTGCCATCTATATATGGGTACCAGGAAGACTGTCGTATAATATTCATTTTTCCATGTTTTATATTTTCTGTGGGTGTGTTTGTGGTCAAAACTATTCATACGTATTACAAACCGAGCTTTGTGCTAATAAGAATTAAATTTAGCTACAATTTAATATTTATTCATCTGTGGATACAAGTGTGCAGAGATAACTAAAGTCTGTTTTTGTATTTGTAAAATATTGTGGTAATCTGTATATCTGCAGTCCGAATCGTGAATATGTGATTTGGTAAGATTTCTATTTTCAGTTGGATATTGATATGTCTCGTAAGTGGTTGGTAATAAATTTGTACATAGAATAATTGTTTTAACTGTACGTAAGCCATAACTTTGGTTGTTAGGACTGGACTTTTCCAGAGCTTACCACAAGGATATTGTACTAGACAAATAAAAACTGGGTTAGAATTTGTCATCAAATACTTTGGCTTTCTACTGCCACTCATCATTTGGCTGATATTCCATACTCATTTTTTACTATTCGTGAGGTGTGTATTAAACCCAACCAGTTGGCATGCTACATAGTAATTTCAGTCTACATTTGGGAATTGCAGTGTTACATTCATGAATTCATTGGATATGGACTGATAACATTTTTTGTGCTGCATTTGTTTGTTACACTCAGCTCAGCTAGAATCAGCATAGATCCAAGACAGCATTATTTTATACCTATTTTGATATTCAGCATGTTTACTAGTAAACAGCAGAGTCCATAACCATGCTATTGGTGTATATGCGAATACACTAGTATTCAAGTTTTAAACATGTTGGTGTTCTGTATGGAAAAAGTTGTATCTTGGGTAGTGTTAGAATGAATGGTAAAGAAGTGGGGTGGACTGAATTCATCTGGCTCAGTCTAGGATGCTTGAGAATGAATGTATATGTATATTTCTGAGATTTGAAGTTTTCGTGGCAGTGACAGTTTAGATTGTGGTCTTCTAGGTCATGGCCACAATATGAAATATATACGAGGTGCGATCGGAAAGTTTCAAGACTGCGCCTATAAAAACCCGTACACTTATCTCAGGTATTAAATTCATCCATCACCCTCGAAGTAGTTCCCCTGGGAGTGAACACAACGATCCCAGCGCCGCTGCCAAGCCTGGAAGCATCCCTGGAAATCTTTCTTTGTCAGCCTGTCAAGCACCATCTGCGATTCTGCCTGAATCTCTTCTATCGTCTCAAATCTCCTTTCCTTTAGCTGAATTTTCATCTTTGGGAAGAGGAAGAAGTCACACGGAGCTTAGAAATGAAGTTGGGGTCGGTTCTTGCAAGATCTTTGAGCTCCTGACAAACGAGAAGTCGATTCTGCTTCTGGTCCTCAGACAGGATGTGTCGCATGTGGAGTTCTTCCTTTAGAATTAGCTGACAGGTCCCATAGCCTATCCCAGCAATGTCGCACAAGTCGTTGATGGTACGACGTCGATCTTCGTGAATGGCCTGCCGAATCTTCGTAACATTTTCGGGCGTTGTGCTCGAAGATGGTCGTCCAGAACGCTCGTCATCATGGACAGAGGTTCGGCCATTTTTAAAACATGAATGCCACATAAAAGTTTGTGAACTACCCATTGCGGACTCCCCAAATGCTTGCTTTAGCATTTCATAGGTTTCCGTAGCCGTTTTGGCGAGTCTTTGGCAAAATTTGATGCACACGCCATTCCGAAATCGCAGGAGGGTCGGTGTAATGCACTACCAAAACGCCTGTAACTAAGAAACAAATGCTAATTCGATGATGCCGGCTGGCACACTGATTCACTATGAATGTAGGCCGCACCCCCTAGCGGCAGAAGCTCGTACTACATCCGGTTCGCCCGCTATTGACAGTCTTGAAACTTTCCGATCGCACCTCGTATGTTTAACAGTGAAGGACTAAGGATTAGAATAATTCTTAAAAAAATAAATTTCAGTGACAATCTTTCCAATGGTTGGTCTTGAAAATGTGTTAAAACAGTGGACAGGAAACTGAACTGAACATCTTTACACATAACCTTCAGAGTATTAAATTATCACATCCTCTTAGTATTTCATCCTTATAAAGATGATCAATCAGTATAGTGACTGGCTATGGACAGGACTGAGGATTTTTCCTCTAGCCTTTGCATCCAGACCAGCTATGGAGCCCACCCAGCCTCCTATACAATGGGTACCGGGGTCCTTTCTCAGGGGCAAAATCCGGCTAGGGCATGACGCTGACCACTCATCCCCATCTAGTACTGAGGTTAAGAATGAGTAGGAGCTATACCTCCTCTCCCCCCCAAGCACCTACATTGCCTATAGTGGGACAGCTTTACTCTTTTTTTAAAGAACATATTAATGTAAGCACATCGTACAGAGTTACGATAAATTTATTTCTGATTTACAATTGTAGGTTTCAGAATGCGTGGAAAAGAGATAAAATAGTGTATAAATTTGTCTTATTGGGAAGTGTGGTGGAGAAAAATGGCAAGGTACAAAATGAGTTATATTGCAGAATTAGAAAGGCTTCAGCATTCTTAATTTAGTCAAAAGGTTGTTATGGAATAAAGACAGATGGAAAATGTAATATTACGGTATTAACATATATTTTAAAACAGGCTATTATATGGAGCAAAGATATGGACATGTGTTAACAGAGAACAAGTAAACTATAAGCAGTTGAGATTAAATTTCTGAGGGAAATATAAAAAAACCCTGGGAAAGATAGAATTAGAAAAACACGGAATGAGGGAGAGCTCAAGATGGAGGAAATACAGAACCAGATTGAGGAAAGAAGATTGAGATGGTTTAGACATGTTAAAGGAATAGATGAGCGTAGAATATCTAAAAGATTATTGGAAATGAAGTTGCGTGGAAGAAGACTCGGGGGAAGAACATGCACGTGATGGATATATGAGGGTGAGAGAGATGTAGGGAGGAGAGGATGAAACTTGCAGAGGGGAGATGAAATGCAATAATGGGCACACAGTTTGAAATTTCTATGCAAAAGTAGCCCTACAAGTGTGAAAATGGCATAAGGATGAATATTTATAATACGGATAAGGTTCCTATGCTCCTACATTTTTTATTTGTGGTAGGAGGAAGAGCTAAACCTAGCCAATAGATTCATGTGGAAATACCAGGACTGGTTATGCAATGTTTTTGACGTAATATTTATAATTAGTAGAGGCCAAGACACCTTCACATATCAATGGCATATACTGTAGTTACTATGCATATTTATATTTAGGTTTCTGAGAATGAACTCTTGGCAGTGTATGTTACTACTTCATTCATGATGTTTCACCAACCCTGGTTTTATAATAACCACAAGACAGAACTGTCAGTATGTGTTGTATGGATTTAAATTTTACTTTGTATTTTTCATTGGGACCATTGTGTGAAAGGATTAATTTGATTTTAAGAGTTACACACACACACACACACAAAATCATGTCATTTGCAGTATTTTAGGTTTGGGTGTTCCTTATGAGTCTGTGTGTGTGTGTGTGTGTGTGTCTTTGAAACCCTTATTAGTCCCGTATAGAATCCCTGGGTTTCACAGAACAAAGTTTGATAATCATTTTTCTAGGTTAGTACAAATCAGAAGGCTAAGAAATGTATTCTGTTTAACATAAACAGCAATTTAGCAACCAGTTGTAAAATAATTTATTTCCAACTTTCAAGTCATTGTACAGCACCGAACTGATTTGGCTGTGTTTCAAGTTGGCATGCAACGTGTGGATGTGATTTAAATGTTTGTAAATGTATTTTTTAATTTCTTTAACATGTTCGGTTGTATTTATAGAACAGGTGATTTTGTAACCTGTTGACTGGTATTTCTTAAGCATAAAGGTTTATAGATTTTCTGAAATTAGCACAAAGTTATGTCCATGTCCATCCTATATTAAGAGTGTATAGTACAAAGTAAGTTAGGTTGATTTTCATGTCTTGTTCAGATCATCATAGAACTTCATTCATACTTACATGATATCAGTTCGTATATCTGAAGTATGCCACATCCTTGGTTTATTTTAAGTGGTTACAGTAATTTTAGTAATTATAGTTATTGTTTTTCAAAAATTAAGCATACTTGGATAATGCATTTTTAATTTACAGACAAATTACAGTACAGTGTTTGAAATGTTACATAAATGAGTCTGTATAGATTTGGAATGGGGTCATCTATTTTCTACTGGACTAGTGTGGGAGGTATGGTGTTGGCTGTGGCACCAGTGGGTTAAGATGATTACTGTTCTCTTTGCATGGAAATGAACAGAAATAGCTGAGCCATGACACTGAAGGAGAGTGAGGAACAGAAGTGTTGATGTTGATTGGCTAATAAATCCCAGCATGTGATCCACAGATTGGAATAGAATCTGGTAGAAGTTTACCAACATTTCAGATGTTCTTGCTGTTGACTCATCACCCTGATGAAGGCAGCAAGGACCTCTGAAATGTTAGTAAACTTCTACCAGACTACATGGTGCTGCAACCCAGATGACAGCCATCTTTAGACTCACGGCCATGAAGACCTGAAATCCTACAGATGGATGTTAGATAAGTTTGTAAAGTGAATGTAGAAACTGATGGCACTTCAACACCTCTGTCTTTCACTGGGAAATCAAATAGCCTACCAAGTATTAAAAATGGTTTAATATTAAATACATTATAAAAAATATATGTTTAGATAGTAAGGAACAATTAAGATATTTCAGAAGAAGTTAATGTCATTTTTCAAGTGTTTTTAACTTCTTTTTGAAAGTCTTAATAACATATATTTGTCCATAATATATAGCAAGATAATTGTTGAGGCAGTATATTCCTTTGAAATATTTGCATACAGTGAGAATACTACATGGCCCAACAACCCAGATTATCAAAAATATGTCTTGCAGTTTGTTTCAAGTTCTTTGGCAGCCTGCTCAGCTGATAAAGTGACTTTACAAGAATTTTCCAAAAACTATAAAGTTACAAGCATATAAGTTAGTGCAGAAATTGTTTTCTGTTTGTTTAAATATATAAAAAGGTTTTGTAAACAGTGTTTTAAAGCTTTAAGGAAATAAAACATTAAAAAATTAAGCAGATAGGTATGTGGTTGGTGACTACTTGGAACCTGAAAATATTAATTTTCTTTTTAGGTGGAAATTTGTATATTTAGTGTTGTTTGAATAGCAGTAGTATTGGTGTACTGCTTTATGTATACTGTTAATTTAACTTCATGGTATAAGTACTGTGACATATCATTATGTTTGTAAGATTTTTCTTAATATCCCATACTAACAGTTCCTATGCTCTTTGCATATTTACACAAAATTAATTGTTTTATAAGATTCTAAAAATAATTTTAAGTGTGCTATTTCTGATGCACTGGCTGAGAATATTGGCTGTAGTGGTGATGTTGGTTGTATTTTTATGCATGCCCCATCCTTCGGATCCATTCATTTGGTACTAGAGTTGACATACTCCTACAGGATTGGCTCCTTTCCCAATCAGTTACCAACACCATTGGCTGCTGGAGGGGTTGTTATATTCCCAGTGGTTCTTGGCCAGCACCTGACCTGGCAACAAACACTCATTGTGTTTGAAGGTAATGGAAGATATAGTCGGTTTGCTTTTAGATGTGAGGGTTCTAATTTCAAGGTGAAAAAGTGAATTTTTATGTTTATATCAGCAAGTGTTGGGAATTTTTTTTAATATCAACTAAACATATTCAGGTTTGTATATATTTAATGACTTGCGCTTATTAAATCATTTATGTTGAAGAAATATTGTTGAATCCATGAAACATGTAGGAGGCTTGGTTAGGTGGTTTAGCATTACAATTGAAATTAGCTAACTATACTGCATGATTGTATCCAATATTTAAAACATCAGTCATCGGTCTGTGTGATTAGCATTTAAGTTAAAAGGTATTTTTACTATATACCTTTAAAATTAGAGTTTGGAATAGTGAAGGATGCCATTTTCTCTCCTCTTCCCCTTTCCATTATGATTACTATCATTAGTAGTGTGGAAAGTTGTATGCAGTACATTGTTTTCTTTACCTTAAAGTTTGTGTTTTATACCTTACATTAGTAAAACTTTGTAGTTAATGTTAAGAACATATCATTTCTTACACTAATTCTGTATTATTGTTTCAAAAATCCTACTAAGGAATTCATTCTCTGTGTGTTATTGTGTTTCATGATCATCATAATTTCTTCTGTTCCTTGTCACTTGGCATTATATGATTTGATGAAAAACTATAACGTTTCAGTCTGTATATTTCAGGATTTGTCATTCTTGTAACATTATTTTCTTTTGACGTAAATACGTCTATACGGAAGGGTCATTTGGCAAAAACAGCTTTACGAAGATGTGTAAGATCCATACCAACAATGTGTAAATATGAACCGACAATGGTCAGCTTTTATATGAACTCCTGCGTGCATAACATTGCAAGAAAAAGGATTCAAATTTCTAACACACGCCTGCAACAATATTGGCTGAGCATGCCGTAAGGCTCTTTTCTCATTATATGAAACAGTATAACTTTCCAAAGAGATTCCATACATAAAGTAAAACCATGAACCATTAAATATTACAAGACACTTCCTTTTTAAAATATCAAATATATTGTATACTTTTATTGAAACCCTTACCCTAAATTGTTAGAACAGTTATAATGTAAGTATGACGTGTTTATATGCATAAATATTTTTCTGACATTTTCCTTAATTCTGTAGGCTGCCATGTCCTTTATATCAAAACTTCAACGGAAAAAGTGCTGGGACTCCCGTAATCGTTATTGGGATTGTCTTGATAAAAACGCGGAGGACCGTGAGAGCTGCTTGAAATTAAGGCAGGCTTTTGAGGATTCTTGTCCAGCACAGTGGGTAAGTTGTCATTTTACATGTGAATGAGAAACATAAAAACTGAATAAATGGTAAACTGAAAATTCGTCATTTAGAGTAGGTATTTCTAACCATTGTTTTTACGTCAGACTTCATTTAATTTTCTGTTTCAGCTATGTGTGAGGAGTAAAAGATACTGTGAAAGTGTTCATATTTGTGGCTCAATTGTAATTAAGTTTGCTTGTTTATTGATTGGTTTAATTTATTGATGGATGGATTAGGTAATATGTAGATAGTCACAACATGGAGTAAGTTTCTTTTCTAATAGCTACTACTACAAAACATTTGTCTTCTGTTTGGATCCATGTTTATCAAGCACCTGTCTTGTCACAGTCAACTTATGCTCTTAGTGTGATGTGACCTAAGAGTTTTATTTTAATCTTCAATCTAATGTCTGTACATTAAGCATTGTTGATGAATAATATTTATTATAAGGAAAAATAATTGGACTTCTTGTTTTCAGGTGAAGCACTTTGACCGGAAAAGAGACTACTTGAAGTTCAAGGCACGCATCGAGAAAGAGGGGTATGAGCCTCTGGACAAGTGAGGTTCGCCATTAACTCACTAAATTGAAAACATCATGCTAACAAAATCAACATTGCTACCCTTCCATTTTTCCAAGCTTTATATCTAAGTGTGTTTGATTTTGAATTATGGAATATAGGAAATTGCCTATGTTATAGAATATGTTTCTAATAAAGTAGTAATCCTACTTAGAATGCAGAACTTTTTATATGAAGAAAATTTTGTTAAATGTGTGACATTAAATTACTGAAAATTGTGTTGTGCTGTTATCAGAAAACATGAATCTGATCTGGTCGTTCATTCCCGTCCTTTACATTGTAATATTTTGTGAAAACCACATATTGTGAGACAATTGTTTCAATATTTAGTGAGACAGCTTATATATGGTTTGTAGCATTAACCTCTTAATTTTCATACATTTATGTTGTTTAAATAAAGTAAATAATTCCATTGAATTTCTTGGATTTTAGTTGTTAAGGCATGAAATGTTTGTTTCCTGTCACCACTTTCATAGGTTTTTATCGGTTACCATATGGCACATCACCCCAGTCACTGAACCCTCAAGTAATCAATACTTTTTACGCATTGAACAGGGTGTGTTGGCCCAAATACAGAAATATTTTTGTAGAAAAAGTATGGCACACATTCCTCATATACCACATTTTCTTGATTTTAAGATACTCTTTTCCACATTTTAAAATTTCTGGAATTGGGTGCATCTTACATTTGATGGCATTTGAAAGTCGATATATATAGTGTGTGTGTGTGTGTCTGTCTGTCTCTTTCTCTCTCCCCCCCCTGGAAACATTACTATATCAATGTGTGCCTTAACAATCGATAGCCTCTTAAAATTGAGGAAATATGGTAATTTTGTCTGGAATTTCCTAATTTTCTTTTAGTCCATGGTATTATTAGCTGAATGAAATATGGGTTTATGAAGTTATGTCTGTTAATACATGAGCAGAACATTTGAACATAGAATAGCAGAGAAAGGAAAGAACTCCAAATACTTGGAAAAGATGCAGGGCAGAGTCCAGTAATGGTTGCTTGTGAGTACACTTATGATGAAACTCACTGTGTGTGTATTTGTGCTGTCCACAAGATGGTATAGTATATTTACCTGCTGTTAATGTAACAGTACAAGTTGAAATGGTCAGCACGAACCAGCACATTAGAACATTTGAAGCTTTTACATGAACTGAATGCAATGAAGTATTCTGAAGTAATTCGCTGTGTCAGTATGGAGTAATTTGTAATGTTTCGGAGACTGTTTCCATCATCAGGGAATGGCAATTGTTTGTTGTATTTTAAATGATCCCCTCTGTTGATTCATTATGTGGTGTCTGTTGAATGGTGGATTAAATGGTGTGTTTCAGGATCCCATCCCCTCCACCAGTTGTACCCAGGACTACAAGCCCATTGCAGACTGTTACTCGGAGACATAGAGTCTACAAAGAGCTGGCAAGTTGTAATTTGTGCACTCTTTTAGTGTAATATCTGAAAGGAGTTTTGCTTTTGGGTAAAATATGCATTGGTGCTGAAAAGCCATCAGTTTCTGCTGATGGCCTAAAGTATACTATTTAACTTTCTTTACTATAACCTGGTTTGACTGATTCATAGATATCTTAATTTTTTGTAGTTATCCTTGACTGCTTTTCATTCTTGTAACAGTGGTTTCCAGGTTTAATCTCTTGGTGATATGAAGGTACCTGTCTTTATGTGTTAAAGAAATTTTTTTGTAAATGAAATATAGTGATATTAAATACTTCAACTTTTTAAGTACTTTTTTTTATGTAAATACGTCTATACGGAAGGGTCATTCGGCAAAAACAGCGTTAGTTACGAAGATGTGTAAGATCCAGCGCCGAGTCACATTTAAACATTCATTCCTCAGGAATGGTAAGAATAAGAGTAATGTAAAGTAATCAGTAAATAAGGACCTTTAAGAATCTGTAATGTATTTTATTGTAATTATAATTGTTTTTACATTTATTGTAATTTTAATGAACCAATGTGTACAATTTTCAATGCATCTGGTGCGTTAAGCGCCCGCCTCTCGAAAACCGTAAGAGATGGATCTGGACATTGTGTACGAAATACGTATTACCTCTTGAGCTTTCCATATCTGTTTTCAGATTTTACATATCACAAATGGTTTAGGTTCTACAAACATTTATTTATACAAATAAAGGCACTTCACACTACTGCTGCGTTTGCATATTTATGTCAGATCCTCCGGAACCGTGGCTCCACTGTCAGTTTTTTGCAAATACCATACAAAATAGATGGCTGTCTTCTGGGTTGTAGTGTCATGTCTAGTAAAAGTTTACCAAGTGATTTTCATACTCAGTGCCATTAGAATCTCAGATCTAATTTAACCATACTCTATAAATTGTGTAAAGAAATTGATGGGAAACTTTTAGTTTAAAGTCAGTGTGGAAAGCATTGAGTCATATAGGGTGTGACATTAAAACCTAAGGATGTGAATAATATCATATGGGTTGTCTTCTGAGTTCTGTTGCCACTTGGAACAACTGTTTTGCACCTTTATTATTTTGGCATAACTCCATTTAAATGTTGGCTTCTTACCAAAGAATGGTACTTCATGTTTTTTGTCTCTGAGGTTTGGTGGTAATGTGCCAGTATATTTGTTACATATTCACACTGTCCATTGATAAAAATTGTTGATATCTATCATCCACCATGTTGTCAGTACTTATTGCTGCTATTTGTTTCTGTTCCTGTCATTTGGCTCTAAAAATTATTGTCAGTCTAAGACATTTATATCTGTTGTACTGTATTGATTCTTCTGCGGTGTGTCAGAAGTGTCATTTTATTTACATTAATTAGAACTGCCATAATTGATATAACCATCTTCTTGAATATGGATATTGTAACTTTTAATTATAAATTAACATTTGTAATAAGTGAGACATTATGTCATAAATTGTTAGATAACAGGAAGAAAATGCAGTCAAGATCTGTACATCA